CCTCTCTATGACAGTCCATGAGATATCTAAATAATGCAATCCTCTCTCCTCTCCATCTTCTCATAAGCACACATGGCCACAAGTCTGTAAGATACGTCTCAACCAACTCTTGGAAAGGCTTGAAAGGGTGCATAAACACACACACACACACACACACACACTTTTTTTTCTGTACAAAATACTCTGAGTTGATCAGATCATCAGATCACCACAAGCAAATTTGGAACTGGGAGTAAAACCAAAATAGAAGTAATTACTGTTCAAAAGGGGAAAGGGGACCACAGGTAAGTTGGCCTCACATGCATACTCTGCCAAAACTGGATAAAACATCAGCCAGTTTAAAAAAGGAATAATTTAATTGCCCTTAACTGTGATTAATTATTATTAATTGCAATTAATTGCACCTCATTGTTCCATGCCGTCAAGTCATTTCCAACTTATAGCAACCTTAAATTGAGCCTATCATGGGGTTTTCATGACAAGTTTCTTCAGAGGGAGTTTGCCATTGCCACCCTCTGAGGCTGAGAGAGTGTGGATAGGGTGGCTTGTTCAAGGTCACCCAGTGGTTTTACATCTCTCAGCAGGGATTCAAACTCTGGTCTTCAGAGTCACCATTCAATGATCAAACCACTACACCACACTGGCTCCTTAATTACATTTAATATCAATAAACTACAATTAACTCTTTTAATTAACTATAATCAATTACAATTAAAAGGTACTGCAATTAATTACAATTAATTACAATAAACTGGGTGCCATTGCAATTAACTGTAATTTTCTGCATTAGTTATAAATAAATACAATTAATAAATTATAATTAATTATAATTCATCAATTGAAATTAATCAATTACAACTACAGTTGCCCCTCCGTTCTTGCAGACTTGAAGTCTGCAGTTTTGCATATTCGCATGGGGTGACCTCCATTGAAATCAATGGGGTGCGCACCCATGGGGGTGTGCCTCATTCAAACCTATGGGGCTTGAATATTGGCGAGTCTCAATTTTTAGGGGGGGGGAGATACAGAACAGATCCCCTGAGAAAATGGAGGGCCAACTGTAGTTTTGTGGTCTGGCAGTGAAACAGGATTTCTTTTTTTTTAAAAAAAAAAAGCATAGGTTAGCCTGGTATGTTTACAAGGACCTTATTTGTGTAAGAATATGCCTACCTGTAAGGAGAATCTGGATCAAAGCAAGTCTTGGTGACATCAGTTATCTCCGGGTTACAGCAATCCCCACCATCAAAGTTGTACTTCTCGTAGTTACAATCCATGTCACACACACCATTCTGCTTCTTCCTGTTGAAGGATGCATGGCGGACATGCCGGCAATCCCCACCATCATAGCCAGTCAAGGTATGGTTGCATTCTGGGTCACAGTTCTCATCCCCAATCTTGCTGATTTCACAATTGGCCAGGATGAGGCGATGCCGTAGGGTGGAGTTCCTCACCTCCAACACCTCCAGTTCCCATGTAATGTTGTAAGGACTGAAGGCATCGTTCAGCTGCTGGTGTTGGAAATCTATCTGCTCCCGGTGGATGGTTGGGTTCCGATGGTGGTCATCATAGATGTTCACCACACGGTAGCGGACAACCTTCTTGCGTCGGAAGCTTGGGAGGTTGTTATAGCTGGTGATGACCTCTACATTGTCACAGACTGTTTGCCCACATGGAGGAGGATCAAGACTTGTATCCAACAGGTAATCTGGGTGGGAAGTGAATTCAATCTGAGGAAGACTTGGGCTGTCTTTCATGGGGGACCAGATGCTTTTCACATTCAGTAAAGTCTCCTGAAAAATGAGATGAGGTAGAGGAGCATCTACTTCGTGAGCCATCAGAGTCATGTCCTCCAGAATTTCCTTCTGAGACCGAGCTATTCGCCAAAGACTGACATGTTCTATATAGCCTCTGTAATTCTGATTCAGGGTGTTCCCTCCAAGAAGGAGGACCTTGCACTTTGAGGTTAAAGGGCTGAAGATGCTCCCCACCTGTTCCCCGCTGGTGGCCACCTGGGCACCATTCACATAAAGCTTCATCAGGCGTCCATCGTAAGTTATGGCCAGGTGGACCCATTGATTTGGGAGGTAGCTGCGATGATCGGTGATGGTGGTGACCTTCCGAGCCCGGTCTGTCTTCAAGGAAAAAAAATAACGGGGGTCTCTCTTGCCTTGATCACTCATGTTGTTAATTCCCAGGACCCATCCTCGGTCAAGGATGGTGTAAGAACATTTGTCATATAGACCTATGTTCCATCCAGAAAGAAAGAAAGAAAGAAGGGGGGGGGAGTAAATATGGATGAGGACATCAGGGGAAAAAAAATATTCTGTTACATCCAATTAAAAAAGATCACAATTTTCAGAATAAACAGGTTGGCACAAGATAGGAGACATTAACCATTCTGGTGACCAAGCTGCAGAGAATGAGATAAAGGAGTCAAGTATCAAACCAAAGGTTAAGGACTGCTCAAGGCCAGTGACGTCAAAGGGATCTCCATCCTATGTCAGAAGCGGGTGGGCAGAAATCTTTTGTAATTTCTTACTGGCAAAATTACACCAAGACAACTCATTAACTTTATTTGAGCTGCAAGCTTGACATCATTGATTTGGATCCAATTCTCAACCGGATGGCTTTGTTTCCTAATTCTCACAAGTCACAGTTCCTGGGATTCTTTGCATGAGAGGCAAGAAGTGAGGTGGACGTTTGAGGAGATTAAGCCTCTTCTTAAGAGAAAATATCAACAGCAAAGGTGTTCTTACCTAAGTTCTCTGAAAGGTGACACCACATTATGTCATGTAATAGAGACCTAAAAGGCATGCTTTAGGACTCTGACAATGACTCCTTGGAAACTGCTTTGTCAAATTCTGCTGAGAAGATGTCTATCCATGTTTTGTTACTATGGTCCAAGTTCCAAAGCTTTGTGAAGCATACTCTCTGTGCCCTCTCTCTGACCTGTCTCTCTGGCTGCATCTGCACTGCAGAAATAATCCAGTTTGACACCACTTTAACCGACATGGTTCAGTGCTATGGAATGCTGGAAACTGTAGTGTTGTGAGAAATTTAGCCTTCTCTGTCAGAGAGCTCTAGTGCCACAGCAAACTACAAATCCAAGGATTTCATCGCATGGTACTGATGCAGTCTAAGTGAGAATGAGGTGGCAAAATGCCAAGGTAGTAATATGGATTGCAACACTGCAAATAACAGGTATGGAGGCATCATATTAATTATTCCATACATTAAAATTGTGATACAGAAAAAAATTAGAATGTAGAGCAGGATGATCTAGAATCTGGTTGTCTTAGCATACTAATTGACAGTGTGTTTTTCATTTGTTTGAATTGTTTCCTTGCTTGCAAAATGCACTTTCAGAACACTTTCTCCCAGTAGGAGGACAGTTCTGAAAGTGACTTGCTGCTTCCTTGGTGAACGAAATCAGCAAGGAATAATCTCCCTGACTTTTTCTCCACGGGGACCAAAAGTTTTGCAAACTATTCTTTGGGTACTTAATCTAGAAGATTGCAAACTTTACCTCTTAACTGATCCCCGTCCTGCCTTCTCTTGCCAAACTCTCTCATCTATTAACAATTGTCTTTTGACATGATGGTCAACAAAAAGTAAAGGTGACCCAATGACTCTGTTCAACTTTCCCCCTTCCCTTTCCCCCTCTTTTCCCTCTCTGAGGTTATTTTCCATGGGGCTCTTGCTTTCCCCTCTTCCTGTTACCTTTGGAAAGAAGATGCCAAAGCTAAGCAGGTAATTTGCTTATTCCTCTGCGGAGTGCACACAGCAAAACCACACACACAAACACACATGCTTTGAAACCATGCTTACAGAGGCCATGTCTGGTTATTAGGAGGGAGCGTGTGGGCATGTAGGGGGGAAAAGAAGGAGAAACAAGTCGGTTTGCATTGGCATTTGACGCCAGGCTAATGCAAAGTGTGTGTTTACCAGACATGGGAGGAAAGTGATCAAAATTCAAGCTGCAAAGCCAGGCATCCTCCTGGACACTTTCTTGCTCTGTGAAATAGAAGAGGGTTGTCATCTGCTCACCTTCAGAGCTCATTGGGTGCATCTACACTGTAGAAATAATGCAGTTTAATGCCATGTGTGGAGAGATCTTGTAGCACTTTTGAGACTAAGTGAAAGAAAGTAGCTGGCAGCATGAGCTTTCGTAGACTAAAGTCTACTTCCTCAGGTACATTTGGTCATCTGAGGAAGCAGACTAGTCTACAAAAGTTCATGCTGCCAACTTCTTTCTTTCAGTGAGTCTCAAAGGTGCTACAAGATCTCTCCACATACTGATTCTACAGACTAACATAGCTAAATCTTTGAATTCTACCTTTAATGCCATGTGTCTCTCTGCATAGAAACTTCCCTCATTGGCACATTCAAAACTATGCAGAAGTCTTGCTGCTCTATTATTCTCTCCAACATCGAGAGTAAAACTGCCTTTTTTGAGTGGGAAAAGAATATAGTTTTTGATATCGACTGGGGTTTGGTTCCAGATACACACACACACGCACACACACGCACACACACACATACACACACACACCCATAGATAGTCAAATCTGTGAATGCTCAAGTCCCATCAAATACAATGGCATAGTAAAATAGTGTCCCTTATATAAAATGCCAAAAACCAAAATTTCCTTTTTGGAATGTATCAAATTTTTTTTGGAAAATTTCCAAGGCATGTATGGTTGATGGATATGGAAGGCTGATCTGAGGAAGTAAACTGAAGTCTACAAAAGCTCATGCTCCAAGATCTCTTGACATACTGATTTTTACAGACTAACATGGCTATATCTTTGAATTCTGTAGTAGATAATATCCTTTCCATCTCTGTTGTTGTGTGCATTCAAGTTGTTTCCAACTTATGGCAACTCTAAGGTTAACCTATCATTAAGTTTTCTTGGCAAGATTTTCCAGACGAGGTTTGCTATTGCTTTCTCCTGAGGCTGACAGCATGTGACTTGCCCTAGGTCACACAGTGGATTTCATGTCCAAACTAAGAATCAAACCCTGGTCTCCAGAGTCATGGTCCAACACTCAAACCACTATGCCATGCTGACAGTCCAACAAGATCTGGAGGCCTCTTGCTTCTCACCTTGAGTTCACCTTCTATTTTTGGTGGAAAGGTTAAAAGATTGATCAGTCCAGGACCAAATGATGGTTTGTCTATATTTTTGGTGGAAAGGTTAAAAGATTGATCATTCCAGGACCAAATGATGGTTTGTCTCATATTGTTGGTGGAAAGGTTAAAAGATTGATCAGTCCAGGACCAATTGATGGTTTGTCTCATATTTTTGGTGGAAAGATTTAAAAGATTGATCAATCCAGGACTGAATGAGAATCCAGCTCCAGTTAGCTTCTAGAAAGGGCCTCTGACGTGACCTTCTCAAACCTTTTCAGAAGGTGATCTTCTTTTGAAACATGGAGACCACCTTTCTGAGAGACTGAGGAGAAGGGGAGAGGGATGAAAATATGAATGGAATTAAGGCACAGAGAGCATTTTTATTTCAAACATACTAGATCTGATGGAGTGATGGTCATGGTCTCAAGACAGGGTGGGAAGAAAAATTAACAATCCCGAGAACTTCTGGAAGTTGTCATTGCCTGCTTTGCTGGGCAAATGCAACCAAAGGTGACAGGACTTAGTTATGAAAGGGGAATTTAGGTCAACAATCAAAGCTTCAGTCAGGGGCCCAGGAACAGGGAGTTAAAGGTTGGGGCTGCGTTCTTTTCCCCTCGCATGCTTTAATCGCTTAGTATCAAAGTCACGGCAGAACGCTTGAAAGAGCAACTATTCTACAGGAACCTATAGGAAGCTTTTATCTGTCCAGAGGAAAATAATTAAAAGAGACAGATTTGGGTTAAGTATTCCCATGTTCCAATGCAATTGGATAAAGTCAGGGAAGATCCACCCGAGCACTTTCCCAAGTTCAGCGTGTCAGGGAGCTTTCCTCAGACGACTTTGAACCCATTCGTGATTTTGTGTTTCTTTTCTATATAATTACGGGAAGGGCGGGAATCACTTCGGCTTTTCTCGTCCCTTCCCCCAACCCCCATCACCTTCTTCCACGCAAACCTTAAATCATTCAGGAGTCCAACCTACTCAAAGATGTTGTTCGTACAATTGCAAAAGCCGCAAGGGGTCTTATGGGACCCGGATGGAATAGGAGCAAAAGCATGGCCACAATGCACATGGACTTAGAAGACCACCTTACTTCTGGCAAAGTGCATTTGCCTTTCAAAAGCAGCTGTTTAAGTCCCTTAGACTCCTTCCAAATGGCCTCTATGTGTCCATTCCAGTTGGGGTTCAACCATTCCTGGTCCACTTTCTTGGCCGCCATTGTTATTATTGTTGTGTGCCTTCAAGTTGTTTCTGAATTATGGTGACCCTAAGGCAAACCTATCATGGAGTTTTCTTGACATGTTTCTTCAAAAGGAGGTTGCCATTGCCTTCCTCTGAGGCTGAGAATATGTGATTTGCCCAAGGTCACTCAATGGGTTTCATGGATGAGTTGGGATCCGGCCTCCAGGCCAAAAAGCAGTAATGTCTAGCTAAATGGTTCCCAAACTTTGGACATCCAGGTTTTGAACCTCAGCTCCCAGGATTCTTGGCTTTTAGCCCACACTGACTGGGACTTCTGGGAACTGAAGGCCAAAACATCTGGAATACCAGAGTTTGGAAAATGCTAGTCTAGCTGATGGGTCTCTGGTCTCAGGGCTTGATTTAATTTAAAATAAATTCTTAATTCCATTAATTCATAGAGACAAAGCTGGAGAGTGCCTGTTGTTAATAATGCAGTTGGACATCAATATTTAAGTGCTGCAGCACCATCCTGTGGAATCTTGGGATTTGTAGTTCATTCAGAGGAAGGCTAAAGACCTTGTAAAATCCTAGCATCCTGTAGGATGCAGCCATGACAGTTCAAGGGGTGTCAAACTGCATTATTTCGACTAGCGTAGGTCAGTGTGGAGTAGTAATTTGTGTGTTGAACTATGACTCTGGAGACCACAGTTTGATTCCTGCTTAACCATAAAACATGTTGGGTGACCTAGGTCAAGTCACATGTTCTCAGCCTTGGGGAAAGGCAATGGCAAACCTCTTCTGAACAAATCTAGCAAAAACAAAAATGATAGGTATGCCTGATATCCATCATAAGTTGGAACTGAAAATATATCTACACACACACACACACACACACACACTGGTGGGGGGGAAGGTGCTTACACATGAAGCAAGAAGGCTGTCAGGAGCGAGGAGGATAAGAGAAAAAGATAAGGATGTGATCAGACAAGACAAACTGCTGACTCCGCAATCTCAGACACATACCCTATGGTGTGCATTCACCTGAATTCACATGAGACAGCAGAGACAGAAGAATGGAGGAAGGAGGGGGGAAATATCTAATTTCTGGGGATGCCTATAGGATGGGCTGATTCTTCTCAGAAAAGTTGATATCTGCTGGGTATTGGTTCCAGAACCTCCCATGGATACCAAAATCCATGGATGCTCAAGTCCCATTAAACACAATTAAGTACAACAGTGCTGTTGTTGTGTGCCTTCAAGTTGTCTATGACTTATGGCAACCCTAAGGCTATTAAAGGCAAGGAGCTTCTCACAAAAAGAAGGGCCAGCCACCCAAATTCACCAAAACAAGGTGGACTTAGAAGTCCTCTCTTCTCTGTCTACAAATGTATGAGCGCTTATAGGAGAAGAAAAGGAAATAAGCAAGCAAGAAGACAAGTTATCACGAGACTGATAGCAAGGTCTATTTGTTTGAAGGGACTGTTTGTTTGCAATGCAGGCACACCCTTACAAATTTTCAACACACTTTGGAAAACACAATCCAAATGGTTAATGGATATCTAACCTTTGGTGCCCATCGACTCTTCTCTCTTTCCTTTTAGCTCAAAATGGGGAGGGAGAAAAGTACAGATGGATGAGACCAGGGGCATGACTAGGTGTAATTCTGAATCTCAAACAACCTGTTGTGAATTTTGCACAGAATAAGACCCAAACTGCAAATATGCTTAGAAAACTATGCAGTCTCCAAAGACTTTTTTGCAGTGGGAAGACAATTGCTAAAGCTATTCCTTGTTTTCTTAGAGATGAAGAACTTCATCCTGATCATAGGGTTACAGTCACTTCCTTAGAGGTTTTGGACTGTACGTCCCAGAATCCCCCAGCCAGCATGCCCACTGGGGGATTTGGGAAGTTGCCATGAAAACATTTCCAGACTCTGCTTCTTGTATGCATACAATCTGGTTCATCTTGCAAATTGAAAGGGGAACTAGTGGGCCTCATCTCCCCTTCCAGGTCTTGATTTAGACCTCCGAATGACACAAGTTTTTCTAAAAAAGAAAAGAAACCTGGGCCTGTCTGATAAGCAAACCATCCTGTTCCACCTGTAGCTTAGCACCTCGCAACACATAAACCAGGCTGGCATCGCTGTGAAATTAATTCCTTTCCTAGCAGGCCATAAAAGAGCATCCCTCAACCTCCCCTGCATCTTTCCAAGAAGCCTGCTCTCCAATGTGATCAATTTCCCAGTTATCTCTCATCTACACAAATGCTCCAGTCCAAACAAGCTGATAATAAAGGGCAGAAAACTGTCTGGATTTCCATGGAATTTACTTGCAGCTAAAGCCTCATATGCACAGCCATAAAATATACAGAAAGAGAAAGAGAAAAGGAGAGATTAGTTAGGACACAAGAATTTACTTTTTTTTTTGTAGCAATCTTGGAAATAGTCATATTAGTGGTAAAGGGTGGGTAAGAATTTTGGTTCAGTTCACTTTTTCAATTGAATTTACAATTCATTATTACATATTTCTTCATTATTCGGACTGTAAAGAACTTCAGAGTTGGGAAACATTGAAAGTGGGACCTACCAAAATGGACAGGCTTAAGCCCTCCAGGACCAGAAATCAGCTCTGAAAAGTCTGGATTTGAATCTGCAATATCGGATAGCTAAGAAAGGATTTGCAGTAGAAAGAAAGAAAGACGTTGCATCTCCATGACTTGATAAAAAAATACATGTGAAATGGATCTTGGGGGTCTTAGTAGACCACAAGCGAAACAAGAGCCAACAATGTGATGCAGGGTATGACTTATAGGGCCCTAAGGTGATCCTATCATGGGTTTTCTTGGCAATATTTCTTCTGAGGGGGTTTGCTTTTGCTTTCCTCTGAGGCTGAGAGAATGTGATTTACCCAAGATCATCCAGAGGGTTTTTATGGCTGAGTGGGGATTTGAATCCTGGTCTCCACAGCTGTCATCAAACCACTGCACCACATTGATTCTCCATCCCTGAAAGTCTTTAAGCAGATGCTGGATGAATATCTTTCAGGAGTGCTTTAGTTGTGTATTTTGACATGGCAAGAGTGTTGGATTTGATGGTCTTTGTGGTACCTTCCAACTCTACAGTTCTATGATTCTATGAATTTCCCCTCTTCCCAACTCAACCCATGTCATGCACAAGCGGTCTTCCTGCATATGACAGAAGGCGAGAGTATGCAAGATGGACATTTAGACAGGGGAGTAGCCATGCTGTCTGTCAAAGCCATTCCTCTAAACAGATGCGCTGAAGATCCAGTAACACCACTGCGTATCTTTTAGCTGGAGAAGGAGAGGAAGAGTTACGGCTTCATTTCATTGCGCACCCCCTTCTCTCTCCCCTTCTGGACTTCTCTTGGGGAAATCTGTATTTGTAAACAAGAGAAGAGCTGCAGTTCCTGGAGACAACAATTTAATGCAGGGTTGTGAGGTGAGGAGTGTGTGTGTGGAGAGAAAGGCAATTTGGGGATTCCTCCTGAGCCCCAAAGCCAAGCTTCACATGTGTGTTTCTTGCCAGAGATACAAAGGCTTCACTGTATAAACTGTACACTGCTTGAGATACACACACACACACTGTACACTGATATATATATATATATATATATATATATATATATATGGGAATATGATAGGTGCAGGTGGAAAAGCAAACAGCCCCATCTCAGAGAAACACACACCCAAATTAAATCATCCTCTACAGCAAACAGAGGTCTTGGCCCAGCTGAC